AAAAAAAAAACTTTCCAGTACAGGATCGCGCTAATGTCCTATTCGACAAACTTGGCATTCCGCCAAATAGAAAATCATGCTCTCTAGCAAGTGCTATCCTGCAAGGTCGACCAGACCATCTCACATTACCAACACGTGCGGCACTTGGTGGCTCGTTGCTCAAGAAAGTGTACGCCCGTGAAAGAGAGGAAACTATCGACGCGTGGAAGAATGGAAAGCTTCTCGTTTTGGAGACGGATGGGTGGACAAACATTTCGGGCGAACACATCATGAATTTCATTTTAAGGGACCAAACTCTCGACCCCTGTACTATAAATCAGTGGAGATAGGCGAGCTCTGATACTCGGTGTGATCAACGAAATTGAAAGTCTCGTTGGTAAGGGAAAAGTTGTTGCTGTCACTACGGACAGCCCGAGCACAATGCGTGCTGCTATGGACATTTTGGAAGCTAAGCGACCCGGATTACTTTGCGGTGGATGTGGCTAACGCTATGAACTTGCTGCTCAAGGACTTGATGGGTATCCCGTTTATCAAGGTCGTCCTCGGCAAAGCCAGAACATTGGCAAAATTTATTAAGAGACGCTGGGCGTTGCTTATGAGATTTCGCAAAACACAAACTACTCGCACGCGGACTTCTGGCCGCAAGTATCAACGAGCACTAAGGATCTTAATAGCTCTTAATAGCGTTTTTGATCGAGCAAGAAAATTGATTACAGGCATCCCTCTTCCTGGCTGTTGTAGTGACAAGACTACCTGTATTGCACACATGAGCGAAAAGGACTAGTCCCACTATCAGCCCTCTCAAAATGCCAATCCATGTCAACTTTACCTATATAGTATCCCAAATTATTACTTCCACGGGTCCAACCATGACCAGAGGGTAGCACCACAGTGCGAAACCTTTTTTTCTGAATTGACGTCTGCATCGTAATTACACAGGGAATATCCATTTGGTCATGGTAGTTCTCTGTAAGATCGGGCTGCTGAAGTAATGTATCCAAACGAAAACAGCTGTCACAATCGTCCTCTGCAGGTTGTGACTCGCATGTACTCCTGTAATTCGTGTATGGCAAACATTCTTCACAACATGAGGATTATCAAAGAGGTTTTCGCGGACATCTTGTTCATGAATCGTTTTAGAGGGAATTTCAAGAAGTCAAAAGGTCGTTTGACACGTGCAAAGTCGTACGTGAATGACACTGCGTTTTGGAAGAACCTCAAGCTGTGTATCAAGCTTGTTGCCCCAATTGTTGGAAGTATTGCAGCGTTTGAAAGTGACAACTGCTCTCTCTCTCTCTCGTTGATCTACGCAGTGTTCGAAAAGTTGAAACGGAACTATTTGTACACTATCGCGGTGTGAGTGCCTGGTGTGCCATCCAGTGTCCAAGCTAAAATCCTGGATCACGTGATATTTTGATGAAATTTCATTCCCACAGTTGCCATGGGAGTTGCTTTCCTTCTCGATCACACTCAGCGTTTCGTTGACTACGACTTGGATAGCACACTGGCGGATCTGTTGAAGATCGCCTCGCCCCTCGGTTGTGAGGATAGACAGATTGGTTTCCTTCGTGGTGAGATTGGGCAGTTCATCATTATGAAAGAAGAGTGGACAGCAGAAGAACGCGAGCAACACGGCCAGTATTCCCCCAGTAGTTGGTGGGGTACCCACATCAAGATGTTTCCGAATCTCCCTAAGATCGCATGGAGAGTGTTTTGCGTCTCAACGTCATCGGCAGCTTCTGAGATAACATGGAGCATACATGACTACATTCAGTCAAAGCGCCGAAATCGATTCAGTCTTGAAACTGTGATGATGCTGGTTTTCATTTACACCAATATGGCGGACAAAGGCCCTACGACCAGC